AAAATGAGTATTACACAACAGTCGATAACTATTTTGCCCAAAGGCCTTTGTGGAATCCGTTAATTCTTTACCGTTTTTGTAAAACAGCTGACTTGCCTGAGGGAGGGTTATGATAAATCCCCCACAGACAAACTATTCAAATTTAATTAATAACTGCTTGTTGTTCGGAACTGCAAACCGATGTTACCCTCTTTAGGGGCAACCCTGGTGCCCTGCATTCGGCCTGCACTCATCTCCAGATTTGTGCAGTGCTTGTTCGTAGATGATTTCACATAATAGACCGGCAAGTTCTTCTGTAGAAGCTTATAAACATCTTTTGAGAAATTCCACCAAAGGCAAAGGACAAAAGAATCCTTGAGCCAGAAGTGTTGTGGTCTTCATTTCCAGGAGACCACCTGATAACTCATTTTTTTTCTATTTTATGATGAAAACAATTTTACTTTTTACAGGTGAAAGGTTTTCTTTTGAAGGGTAAGTAGGACGAGAGTGTTAAAATGATCAGAGCAGGTCTTTTCACTGAATGTTTTGATACAGAGTCAGAAGGAGGGGTGATGGTCTTCTGCCCTCAGTCCACGTAGGTGATGGTCTTCTGCCCTCAGTCCACGTAGGTGATGGTCTTCTGCCCTCAGTCCACGTAGGTGATGGTCTTCTGCCCTCAGTCCACGTAGGTGATGGTCTTCTGCCCTCAGTCCACGTAGGTGATTGTGCCGCATGGTGGTGGTGAAACAGCGTCAAACTGACAGAGAATGACGACGAATGCCGCTTATCCCAGATGCTAAGTGCTAACCGATATCAACGACTGCCGCCCGGCCATAAGTACCGCTCTCGAATAATTACTTTCAGATAACTCCAATAACCTCCTATAATTACTAGCCTCAAATACCAGCCAAATACTACTCCTCGATAAATACTGCTTTCTGCTTTAAGGATGTGGGATTTGTGTGACAGCTATTAAAAAAACCACGACCTCCCCACACACTCGAATCCACAGTGACTTCATAATTTTAATTTATTTGTTTATTTTTTGACGGCACTGTTGGCATGACTCAAAGTGCAGGGGGCCTGTCCATCATGTTATCAGTCCTGTGTGTTTCTTTAAAAACGACTGTGACAAATGGACCCTCTCTACCCTCCTCCTCCCTATCGCTGTCCTCCCACGTTATGAGTTATTCAGCTCAGACGGCCAAGCGGGCATGGGGTTCGCACCAGAGCGTATGGTTACCAAACAAAACAATAAGCTGTCAGCGCCCAGGCCACATGGACGTGACAGCTTCCTGTGCGAGAGGAAGTACGCGCGGAATATGTGGCTCCACGCTCCTCCACTATCGCTGGTCGCTAAATTGGGAAAAATACAAGGTTTGAATAATTTCCTTCCAAGCTAGTTATTCTCTGCATATATTCCCACCAAGGACGACCCAGCGGCGATCCAGGAAAATCTCTCACCGGCCACAAACCGTAGACCTGATTCCAGCAGCTGATCAAACGCTTAATGCTGATTCCCCCTCCCCGCCCGCCACAACCTCATTGTGATGATCCCACGCAGACTTCCTGTCCTTACCTGCGGTAGGCGGGTCGTTACACGTCCCGAAGCTGCGAGTGAATGATTTTTTCACAGAGGCCAGTGACAGTGGCGCCTGCGCAGACCCTGTAGCCAAAACTGCCTTTGGAAGGACACAGCTCTCTCACAGAGAAGCGGCAGGTTGGAAAAGAAAAAGCAATGAATATTTGACTGGGGGGTGGCGGGATGCTCACAGAGGCTGTGGTGCGTTTCAGCCTTATTAAAAACACACCCTCTGTACCCCCTCCTCTCACGCAGACACATTCCAGCTGCTTGAGCATCAGTCTGTGTTTTTTCCCTCTTTTTTTTTGTTTAATCACTTACTTATAGCTGATTTTCAGCCCCTGTCCCCTGGGCTCCGTGGTACAGCCGTGACAAAACAGGAAAATAAGTGTCGGCAATCCACCGTGAAGGTCTGTGCCGGCGGAATGGCTGTCAGGTCTGATGTGACATGTGACCCCCCCACACACACTGCCCCCCAGTCTGTAAATATCCTGGTACACACAAAAAATAAGATACCATCCAGGCAGCTGAGCAGTCTGGGACCCTGAGGGACAAAATGGACTCTGTTAATCCTGCCTGTTTCCCTAATAAACTCTCGCTCTGATATGAGTAAATGTTGCCTCTTCTGAAGTCTGGTGTTGATTGCTGCAAAGCTGGTCCACACACCATCTTAAGTCCCAGTCCTCTCTCCAGTACTTCAGGCCTCCTTTGTGTTAAATATTTTAAAAAGGGGGGGGGGGGCTTTTATGTTTATAGTGTACCAATGGGCAAAAATTCCCGACTCAGGGGCAGATTAAATTAAAACCCTAACCTCGAGCTGTTATCTGTTTCCACACATTGGATTCCCCCCCCCCCAAGACCCCCAACCCTACATCGCATTTATTGCTAAATAGATTTCAATTCCAGAATCTCCTATTAATGCTGCGTTAATCACATCAGCTTTTACATCTACAGAAAATAAGAATAATCCGCCTTTTATTCAAGAGTCTCAGCAATTAGTCGACATCAGAACATGTAAACAGAATAATAAAGTCTTACGGTGGCTGGTTACACTAAGCGTGGAGACGCACCTGCTCCAGTCCGCACGTTATGCCTGATATTATGCTTCATTTTTATCAATCTAAAAGAACAGCCTCATCAGGAAAAAAAAAAAAACGTAATTAAACATCAGAGGCCTTTCCGGAAGCCCCTGTGTGAAACGCGCTTTATTTGCCTTTTATCAGAATGGATAAAAGCTGAATGGAACAGAACTGGGTCGCCTTTCTTTCATGTCGTGGGCTCCACCCTCCTGCAAGGTTACAGCCAGCAGCGTCCACCTGTAAAGTGCATTTATAGGTCACGTTTTGCAGGGATGTCTTCCCTCCTCAGTTTGAAGGTCATTAATTTATAAGGACATTCACCTGTCTGGTTTATTAGCTACTATCGCATCCCATAATACACACGATCCCAGTCTGTAATATCGTAAAATACTAGATATATAACCTAATGGGTCATTCGGTGACTGGTGTCAAACAGACATAGAAATTCACACACTTTCGTCACTATATCATTGTGCTTGATTAAAATCCTTTCCATGGACAAAAATTATGCCCATTCCATCCATCCATCTTTTTATAATTACTTACCAAGGAAGCACAGGGTACAAAAAATATATATTTATGAGATTGTAGGGATACTTGGTCCCCACAATGTAATATATGTGACCACACACATAATCATCAGCAATTAAGAGAGGCCAATGTTTTAAGGTAAGATAAACAAGATATCCTCAAGGAACCCACACAGAGTGACCCCAGCAATTTCAGTATGTCCATCTGTAGATTAATCGCTTGGTTTTTATAATTCAGCTGAGATGAACCCAGGCCTAGACCAGACCATTTCAGACATTTTAACCGCTCCATTTAACATTTTCACCCTCTTGAGCAATCTTTTCACTGTCTGAGATTCTCTCTTCGTAACTCTGACTTCACATGTCAGTGATGTGAATCCCGGTCACACAGATTCCTGCTAATATTCGCCAGAAATATTCCGAGGCTTAAATGGCATTTTCCGTCACTCACCATGTTCCATCTCCAAATTCTTCTGCTCCCCGCTCACCTTGAAGCCAGGGCAGCAGCCCAAAGCAGGGGCTTAAATCCACCGGAAACAGCTCAGCATGTTTGCAAGTAAATTTGTTTTGCCTGGGGGAGGCCCAAATTAAATGTGAAACTGACAAAATCATTTCATTTTTGAAACCTGACTGACTCCGTGAAAACATTGCAGCACTCATTGAGAAATGTCATTTAAATTAAACTGGCGACCCTTGTCACCAGAGAACATGACTGATTAGTGAGTTTCTGTATTCTAACAGCAACTTCATGACTAAAACCATTAGAGCAGAGAGTATTAAACTGACACTTTTATTATTTATAATAATAATAATAATAATAATAATAATAAAAGGCTTCATTTATTTTTTCAGTCATGGGAATCATGGAACAGTACCGCAATACCGCAGAATATCTATTAGTGTCAGCAGTGTCTGCATATAAATGAATCGGGAAGCTACAGTTGATCTAGAATTCATTTTGACATCTTTTGAGTCTTTATATATGGAAAACCACAAGGAAGACAAGATGCTCAGAAGATTACAGCTGAGCCCCACAGCAAAGGCGCTTTATGATCTAGAGTGGATGTTTGTGTATGTTTCCATGTGTGAGATATTAGCAAGGGCTTCTGTGCTTCAAGGGTGTCAAGGTCACAGTGTCTGTTCAGTGTCTGCCCAGTGTCTGTCCAGTGTCTGCGCAGTGTCTGCACAGTAGCTGCCCAGTGGCTGACATACACTAAAGGCTCTCCAAGCCTCAGTTCCTGCTATCCAAAATTCCTCTGACTTGAAGGGTCCTTCAATCTGACAAACACGTTGTCTGCCTGTTAGATGGCTCCTACCTCCGACCTGACTCGCCTTCTACCTGGGTGGTCTCTGGTCGTCATGGCTACTCTCGTTTCACGGTACAGGTGGAGACTCTCCATGGAGTCTTTAGCGTGAGTGTGTACAGCACTGAGGAGCGCAAGGGATCGATGGTGAGCTTGCTGGGCAGGGAAGAGGCAGAAGGAAATTGATCCCCCTCCCGGTCCCCCAAAGGTGAGGTTCCTCTTGAAGTAAAGATCAAAGGGGGGGCTGTTTGCAGAGAGCCGAGGTTTTGGTGGAGGCGGGGCACATGGGTCCTCGGTCCGCACCTGAACGTGAGGCTGCTTCATGCCTCACCGCCTCCACCTCAGCAACAAATTCAGCGACAAACCGTGTAAAGCTGGGACTTGATTTAGTCTGGTTGCTCTTTCTGCCGTAATCGAGGACCACAGCTGGGGTCATGTTGGACATCTCACCAATGTGGCTGCCCCCCCCCCCCCCCCAAGAAAGTTACCGTCAGACACACGGCATTGCCATTTGGAGCGCATAACCTTCATTCTACATCCACCGTACAAATTTTATTTACCTGATTAGATGTATCACAGATTAAGGGGATTTCACCTTGGCAGAATGCGTACTTCGCCGTAGCGCTACAATGCAATTTGGCATCAAACGTAATGTTACAACAGTTTAACGGGAGCAGTTATCAGTCTTATTATAATGCCAGATAATTAATTTGGTGGAAAGGCTGAGTCGTACATTGATAATGAATTAGCATGGTATCATATAGGATCTGCAGACTAAAAGGTTCATTAAAAGTACACAGCCTGCCAGTGTTTTCATGAGGACGGAAGCAGCAGAACATTTTCACACACGTACACCAGACAGTGAACTTCTGTAATATATTTCTTTATAAGAAAATAAGAGTACGAACAATAAGGATCATAAGAAAACTGGCTTTAGTAAAACCAATGCTGAGATGTGATGTATGTGTGCGTCTGTTAGCTTTGTATTTCTTTATATTATCCTGGAAAATGTTGTCCTCCTCTTTGTCCCACCAAGCAGGACAAGGAGATTGAGCTGAATGTGTTCCCCGGTCTCCTGCGGTCGGAGTTCTCAGTGTTCCTAGAGATCGGCCGTTCCAGAACACCCCTGAAGCTTTCTAGAACTCTGGGGACCAAGGTGCAAGTTGTGTGCTTGTGGATGTGAGGGTTTTGTGCTAAAACAGTAAGAAGAGACACTTCTCGGCCTCAATGGGCAGCGCTGGAGTAAACAGATTGCTTGCCTAAGAGCCTCACTGGGTTCCTTTCAACAGCCTCCTTCTTTGAATGACTCAGTCTTTTCAAAGAGGCTGCAGATGTTCCGGCTAGGATCCGGTAATGGCCACAAGGTGTGGAAGAACAACACAGCCCTCAAGCTGAAAAGACAGCACTGTGCTCGCACCACAGTGGTATAGAGTGTGCTTAAACAGGAAGGCATGTTCGCCGGCCTCGTGCCTGTGCTTGCGCTTGCGCTGTGCACTGGGCATTGACCTAGCCAGCGCTGAGATTGACCTGCAAAGGCGGGTGTTCTTAGGCTTCATTATTCTTTGATTGTCAAAAAAAAGGAATTCTTTTGTTCATCATTAAAAAGCTAATTTTGTCCAGATAATTATAAGTAAAGCAGGAATGATGTGCAGGTCACATCCAGATGAATTCAGATGTGAGTCTTTTGCAGGGATGTGGACGTCACACACTTCCGTTTTCTTGGTTCATCCAAAGAGCTCCCAGCTAGCGTACCATATACTGAAGGCAGGCTACTGAGGGGCTCACGGACTGTATGCTGGGCCCGTGTGCGCATGCGTGCGCGAGTGTGCATGCGTGCATGAGGGCGCTCTCTGTCAAGCGTAAAGCCCAACCACTGCTTGGGATGTGAGACCATGCTACAGGGTCTCTGTCGGAGAACCATGCTGGGGACTTTGGGTGGAGGGGCCAGGGGACACAGTGAAGCCCTCGGGTGGATGCCATGAGGCATTATTATGTAATACGGTGGGTGGAGGGACGGCCTACCAAAGCCAAGAGGTGCTGCTTCAATGCCAACGTGTAGTAATTATTTGTGCTCAGATTCTGCAGTCTCAGTCCCAAAACTATTGGTTCCAATAAATGAAAAGCGAAACCACAGTCAGACACGAGCCAGAGGGACACGGACCGTGACTGAGTTTCGGGGGGCAGGGGCGGGGTCTGTCACACAGTTGTTTCGATCTTTTCGATGATCTCCACCATGGACTTGGAAGGAGACAGCAGACTGCACTGGTCTTGGTCCCACAGGCTGCCGGGGTAGGAGTCTCCATCAGTGCTCAGCTCATCTTCCTCCTCTTCCTCCTCCTCTTCTGTGTCGTCGTCACACGACTCCATGTAGTGCAGGCCAAGCGCATTGATGCCAGAGTCCTCTGAGCTGGAAGGGGAAGAACAGTGGTCCATTTTGGGCCCGCTGACCTCGTCACCAGGGGCGGGCTTGGGTTCTCTAGCGGCTCGCTCTGGGGGTTGCTGGGGGGGCTCCTGTGGTGGGGGAGGGGCCGGTGTCGGAGGCGGGGGGCGCTGCACGTAACACATCTTGCCGTTGATGCGTTTGACCACATAGTCATCGATGAAGAGGTCAGCGATGATGCAGTACTTGGGTGACTCGGGGCAAGGCGGGACAGGGAAGAAGGGAGCGGTCCTGAGGAAGCGCTCGGCCAGGGAGACGGAGAGATTGATGGTGTCAGTGTAGTCAGAGGGAGTCGGGGGCACCGCCGTACTGGGCAGCTGGCACACACTGGTCATAGGCTGGTACACATATTTACCTGTAGGAGTAGAGAGAATTTACCATGCAGAATTCTGGCTGTATGCTACACAGTAATGATAAAACACAGCATAATGCTACACTGTATGTTTCTGTTTACAAAGATTCCTTTGTTCAGCCATCAGGATTTCAACCCTACAGCTATGCATCTGGACGCTTCCCCAAAAACGCGGAATCGATGGAACGTGACGAGAAACTTTTGGGCTTTGTGCCCATTAACCCAAAATCTCTGGGATTTTCCAGGAATCCCTGACATACCTGCAAGCCCCAACACTGTTGCAGTAGTACCCATGTTTTTGGAGGTACGCATTTTTGCAAGCGGATGTACATTTATCTCTGCTTTGGAAACTGATTGAGAGATCTGGGAGAACTGAAAACAAGGCCTGGATTTGGAATGGAGGTCCAGATTTTAGGAGCCTTTCTTTATTGCAATGTCACAATCAGAAAAGGACGGGATGTGAACAGGGCAAAACGGGACGCCATGAAAATTAGACACAAGACTGCAAGGGTTTGTGGGGCTGCTTATGTTTCCAGAATGAACTGTTTAGCCTGGTTTGACTGGTTGTGGTCTGACTGGTTCATTCACTCTGTGGTCTTTAAAGGAGATCTACAGGAGGTCGGATTTACCATATTTCCAATATGAACCACCTGTCTTTTCCACATTCTTCAAAAAAAATCCTATAAACCACATTGCTAGTTGAATTACAACTGCAGTATTTGTGTTTAATGGAGTCATGGCATGTTCCCATGTTGTGGCAGTGTGGTGACACAGGCCTTGCAGAAAACAAAAGATGGCTGCTGGACATGAGCTTGGCTACGTTTATCCTTCACCTGGACTCTGTGGGGGGGGGGGGCACAGCTGGTCATCAGGAAGGGACGCTGACCCTCTTCCTCATCTGGCCCTCGCAGATGTGGAGGGCTGCCGGAACAGCTGCCACTCCGAGTGAGAACAGAGCCCGTGTTAGTCAATAAAAGCTTATTTGGCATCGCCGTTGCCAAAACCCTCCCCACCTGATTTTTAAACCTGTAAATAATCTTCCAGTCGATTTTCCAGGACAGGGTCGCGGGCAAAAACCCAAAAATATCTTACAGTGCCAGTGGGTCCATTTCTGTTTAGTTTTCTGAAGCAGAAAACTAAACTTTAGGAATGTGTGGCACAGGGGGTCTCTGGGTAACCCTGTCCCCTCCTCCTCTGGGCTTTGAATCCCACTCCTCTTCTCTGCGTGGGGCTTGCATGTATTGTCCATATCATGTGGGTTTTGGCCAACAATTCACAGATAAGTTAACTGGTGTCTCTAAATCAGCTGGAGTGTGTGTGTGTGCCCTGGACTGGCATCCTCTGCTGGCCGTGCCCCTGCCTTCGCCCTGTGCTGCCCACAACAGGCACCAGGGCTCTGACTCACGACCCCCAACTATTAGGTGACATGAATGAGGGTGCCAATCCTCCCAGGGTTCCTCAGGACACAACCACGGGTCATTTTCTGTTTCCTGTCCCTTTCCTTATTTAACAAATCCACGTAAATCACGCACGCACGCACCGTGAAGCGTCCTGCTACCGGCATCCCTGGTCGGCTGATGCCAGTCAGACTTTGAAAGCCCAGAAGGGGGCGCCGTGGCAGCGGGGAGGCGGCGAATCCGGCGGTGCAGCAAAGCCAGTGGCCGTCATGTGATCGTGAGTCTCTGTGGCACAGCCAATTAGCTCGGCGCGGCCGGAAGGACTGTGATAATTGCCGCCGTGCAGCTGCATGTGCATCTCATTAGTGCCTGAATTTCACATATAAATGTATGTATAAACAGCCCTTCACAATCCTGCAAGGTTAAGGCAAATGAACACGGTCGCCGGGCAGCTCATCGGCAAAAAGCCCTACCGCACAATGGCATCATTTTTTAAATGACCCAGTAACTACGGTGATGCCCTTCTCACAAACGACTTCTAATAATTAAAACAGACCACATGACTCGAACACAGACCGGGTGCCCTATTTGACAAGCAGATGCCAAAAGACTGACTGGGTTTGCTTGAGATGAAACAGCAGATATCCCAAGATCTGAATGGTATTCCTCTTTACGAAATACTTTCAGAATAGTCCATCCATACATCCATCATCTAAGCACTTAGGCTGAGCCGGGTCATGGTATCCTGAGTAGATTGTGCTTTTTAAATGGTTAATCCTCAGAATAACAATTAAATTAAATCCAGCAAACAATTAAATCCTGCAAAGACTTAAAATTTGTTACTTACTTCTTAAAATTTGTTACGCTGGCGATTATTTCCTACTGCTTATTTAATATTTAATAATAAAGCATAATATTCATTCATCATTACATGTTATGAAAGCATTAAAATTTAAATTCTCCATTATTATTTTTGTAAACAGTTGCGAAAAGAGTATTCAAAGGAAGTGATTTTTAAGACGCGTAAGATTTTTAAGATTGTGTCTAATTTTAGATTTTGCAGTTTTATTTTGCAATTATCTGGGTAGGTGTCAGTGGGTTTGTGGGTGTGTGACTTTGTGATTTAGCTTGGAAAAAAGGGACAGCTATTGCTGGGAGACACTTAACGCAGGGCTGGATGAGAGACCATCTCGGGGACAGCTATCACTGGGAGACACTTAACGCAGGGCTGGATGAGAGACCATCTCAGGGACAGCTATTGCTGGGAGACACTTAACGCGTGGCTGGATGAGAGACCATCTCGGGGATAGTTGCACTGGCTTCCAGCAGCCACTCAGAATGCAGTGACCTTCTCTGAGGTACGATGTGCAATTCATTCAGTCAATGGAAGCAGCACAACTGAAATTCTTTAAAAAATCAAACTACAGACCCCTGTGCTTTTTAGCAAAAAGGTTTTTCCTTGGTGCTCCAGCCAACTTGTCAAGTTGTAGCAGTAAAAGCCAGTGATAATGGAATCTGATTTTTAAAATATTACAGTGATTTCAAGCACCATAAGGTGAGACCATAAATTCAGGGCTTGTTTTGTTTATATGAGTCCAAATGTCCTGTAGCTGCTGCGACATCATGTTATAAACGTCTGTACTTTCAGTTCCACCGACAGCTTAAATGCTAGAGTTTTTCCCGATGATGCTACAACAGTCGGATCTCTGCCAAATGATAGCTTAGCCATCTGAGTTCTACCCAATGATAGCCTAGAAGTCTGATTGCTTCCCAATGACAGCTTATAAGTAAAAGTCCTTAGCCAAAAGCATCATGGGAGATTTAGCAAAGAGCCTGAGAACCCTCCGCTCTGCCATTAGGAATCATTACTTGCTATTTCTCCATTTAATTACTTAATGAGAAGCAGCATGTTCCAACCCTCTGGACTCCACTGAGTTGCTGTATGTGAACATTGGCTAAACTTCTCCCCGAAAAGAGCACCAATTGGGCCACCAATTCCTGCCACCTGTGAGGAGCGGGGAAGAACAGAAGTCTTCGTTCAGGGCCACACACATCTCTAGAGTCAACGCCAAGTCAATGTCTGAAGGTCATGGATTCAAGTCTCATAAGATGTACAGGTGTTGTACCCTAGAGTGACGTGTATATCTTGGCTACTCCCTGAAATGAAAAAATAAAGCTGCAGGTTGCTTTAGAGAACGTTTCCTTGTGAAATGGTACGTGCTAAGATCTGATCCCTCATGCCACACATTTCAGGCAGTACCTTCTGAAGCAGCCAGTTCACTGCAAAGAAGGACAAATAAAGAAAGAGCCAGGTGTGATTATTCATTGGCCCGGTGCATTCTGGGGCCTTGAGGAGGCATAGGCCTTGCTCGTGAACATCCATGTCCACGACCATCTCGCCCTTTGCTCATTGGCCCTTCGGCGGGAGGTGCCATGCTGCAGCTCTCTCCCCTCTTCACTTACTTATCGGCGACCAAAAGAAACCGCGAGCATCCCAAACAGGTGGACACCCACTGACGCCACAGGACGAGCCTGTCACCAGACACGGCATATTGCCGGTGGCATTAAACACAGCTAATTATCTGTAACGAGCAGCTCTGGCTCGTCTCTCTCACCAGCTGTGCACGAGGGCACTAAATAAATCTCCCGTTTTTTCAGTTTCAATTCCTCCCCGCTCCCTACAATCCTCGGGGACCCTGAACAAAACAGGCACGACTTCACAGCCGGGTGATAGCCATCACTGCTCCTGTGCCCCCCTCCCTCACCTCCCGAACACAGCTGTGGTCTAATCCACACTGCTGGCCTCTAATCGCCCCCCCACCCCTTATGATTTAAAGATGGCATCGCTCCAGTGCTCCCGGAAAGCAAACATGGCAGCCTTTGTTAGTGTGCACTGCACACAGCCTCATGCCCCCCTGACAACCTCCTAGACATGTCTCAAAAAAGCACAGAATTCAGATACTTCTTGCCCATTAAACTGAAGGCTGTTCCAATCCTATACAGATTAATTGGAAAACAAAGACATTTCTACTTGATGAGAATCTACTGAGAATCTTTCACAAGCGTGCTTGCTGCCTGGCAGAAGCCTGAGGGATCGGCTTTGCTGGGATGTAAAACCACATTGTTTGCAGTTGATTAACACAGACAGTGTTCTTTGGTGAATTACGACTTTCCGATCCGTTCATTCCGTCTCGGTCCTGGACAGGATTGGCGTGTAGGGGAACTGTGGGATTATACGCAGGGCTGCGACTCAGCCAGGGCATGAACTGCGAAACCCAGTGCTGTGAAACGTCTTCACCGAAATGCCGATGGAACCGAGAGACTAAAATCAAACAACCTTTACACATCTGACGGTTTCTGACTCTGACATAAACACATTCAGACTTAAAGCGACAGCACATGCAAATTTCACTGCTCCACGTCCATCCCCTGTACCTATGCCTGTATTTCAATGTCGATGGAGAAAAGGTGTACTGATGTCAATCTTTCAGAGCTCAGGACAGACTCTGGCCCCGCAGTGGTTCCACAGCTAGACCAGAAGAGACTGCACCAGGCCCGACTGGAAGCTGCTGTAAGTTCCTAGGGTTGTTGGGCCAGTCTTAGTGAGCTCAATGCCAATTTAATCATTTATATCCCACAATGCATCAGTTGACTTCAGGAGCCTGGCATGTGAAGCTTGCACTACTTCAAATTAACAGTAGTCTGAGGAGACACTTAACGCACAAAAATACACACATATGCAAATCGAATCAGATTCCTGCCTGCATTGACTAATTCACCAGTGCATTTCCTGTTCCCCTTTAAAAGTTTTGAACACGATCCCTCCATTTTCCTGTGTCTGATGCAAACTGATTGTCTTCAAGCCGAGCTATAGCCAATTCCTTTTCGCGACGAGAAAGTGAATGTATTTACAATCCAAGGTAAACCGGCAAAAAAAACAGGACGGTTTGTCAATATCCAAATGGCTTGTGTCCAAACCATTTCCAACACTCATTCAGTGGGAAGGGACCTCATTCCAGGCATGAAGAAACTCTCCCCACTGATGTCAACATGCAGACGCTTGAGACAGAATAAATAACAGCATAATTAGCCTTGTGCCCCTGATTTGCATATGTCATGCTGAGTGTATTAATTATCTTCTAGAGTGGAACATTTCCACGGGTGGGGGCAATATTACCCAGCATTCCCAGCCCGGCATGCCCTACTGGTGACTGTTGGTCCAGGATTCACATTGTCTACCTCACCAGATTATCAGACACTGTAAATTTTAGAATGCCTGTTGTTACTCTCTCACTCTGCACGGCGGTGAAGGAGATGGAAGGGGTGAGGTCAGGGTAGGGGCGAAGGTGAGTGAGGGGACAGCTTTGTGAATGAGCCAGACATGGGCAATAAGATTCTCAGCTCCTGTTCGCAGAAAACTGAATTCCACCCATGACCCCTTGTGTTCAGAAGGGGACCCCATCCCAGCGACAGTAACCAGCACCTAAACGGCAGGGAGTGACGATGCATAATTTTATGATGGTCATTTTCAGAGTTTCCCCAACAATCATCAGGCAGTAATAACACTGAATCAACCACTTTGCCACAGAGTGATCTAAGCTGACCGCGATTTCATTTCAGAACTCGGTGAAACCCTAAAAATACACCAGCAGTGATTGATCATAAAACTTTAATACTTTGACTGAAAATACCAAGATTATACAGACAGTCAAGGTTATACAGCTTCTCTGCTGCCTGGCAGACAGTGCTCGAGAGCACCAAAGCCGCAAAGAGGATTTTTACGTCGTCACCCAGAGCATTAGCACATGAATATCAGCCAAATCTCAGCCGAGTCTGTCTCGTCAGACAGAGGCAGCGCTTTATGCGTGCTGCTTTCTAACACTCTGCCGTTCCGAAAGCCCAACGTCGGCTGAGCCGTGTCAAAGCTGCGTGTGGGGGGCGGCACACAGGATCGACAGGGTAATCACGCCAAGTGCTGCAGGGCCTGATTGGTTTAGCGCGAGAGGCTGAGATTAAGCTTGATGTGCTCTCATTGTGGGAGGCTGCACATCCTGCCCGTTCCAGTGGAAGTGAAAGCGTCGTCTGCATCTGCACGGAAATCACCAGCCCATGGAACGCTAACTTAACCGCCGGTTCCCCGTGACCGCCACACACACAGTCACGTGCCGTCAGATTTACCACAGGGGTCAAAAGGTGGTCTGTCACAGAATTAAAAAGCTCCAGACCCCCTTTGGTGACGCGTCCGACGATAACACGCATTTGACCTTTTCGGCCGTCACTACGGCGATCCAATCAGGCGCGCCAGCTGCGTCCGGCGGCTTCACGCGATTTGGTCCGCGTGACACGGCGTGACAGCGACTGTATAATCCGCTGTGATTCCACCCGTGTTTATGTGCTGCCTACACAGCACGGAATATTTCACCCTAACAATCACAGATACCTCCAGTTTGAGAGACCAAATACGAAGTTTTGGGCAAAGGCGCCAATATCCATCTCATAGCACCAGGGACTTTCATGTCAGGAGGCTATATCGGATTAATTCTGGGTGCTCTCCCTGAGCCCCCAGCTTCCTTGTTTTAAATTATGCTTCCCCAGTTGCATAATCACGCTTTCATGCCTTGTCTTGCAAAACACCCCCCCCCACCCCACAATCCCCTTGTGATCATGTGACCACAGCACAAGCCGCTATGGTGACTATGGATTTTGCATTGCAGAGCCCAGAGACGAGATGTGGAAGCCAGACCTGATAGATCAATACGATGTGAAGGACAGCTGGACAAGGGCAGGCGAGCATGTAACCTAGCAGGCCAAAAAAGCTGTGGGTTCGAATCAGTAGAGAAGATCCACCAACTTAAGTGAACCCTTGAGTCACTCTACCTTAATATCATCCTTAAATGTATAAGGAAAAAATGCTTAAGATTCTACAAAATGTTATTATCTTCTAATGATGTTCTGCTCAGTTATCAGCAAAAGTTTCAGCTTGCATCAGGCAGCAGGTGAACCTGAAATCAAGCACGTTCCCCCCCGGATGTGAAGCGAAAGTCGACGCGCGATGCGAGGCTCACGCCGCAGCCGCCCCCGAGAGTCATGCACACCTTTGCCATCTCCTCAGGAGCGGCACATGACTAAAGGCTCATGTTCTACAAAGAGATAGTCTCCCACTTTTGCGTCTGAGCTGATGCTCAAAACCAGCCCATTAATACGACTTAAACATTCAGCTTCGGCGAAGACGACCGAAGGGGGTGTCAAGCCCCCGTCAGAATGTTGAAGCACAGCAGGGCAAATTCCTGCCAACATTCCTAAACCTGTTCTATGCAGACCTTTGCAGTTCTTCTTTATAAAGCCAAGAGTGACGTATATATATATTACAGACCTCTCTGTTTCACCCCTCCCCCACTTCACAGGACACATAGCATATGAGACTGGACACTCGGGCAGAGAAAAAGACAGCTCACCCTGAACGGAGTCCTGCTTCTTGTTAAAGGTCTCCTATGCAGGAAATGACTGGGCATATCAGTTACAGACCCTCATGTGAAAGGCATGTCAGTCTGCAAAAAGCATCAGTTTCCCCAGCACTGAAATGCTGCTCACAGATGTCACACACACACAGCTCACGGCTCACGTGAGCAGGCCTAACGGCATGTATGATAAAGAATGAAATGGGGCTATGGGAAAAAAAAAAACATACGCCCTCTAGTGGTCCAAAGGGGGATTAAGTACTACATCCAAAATCACACACTGTCAAAAACACTAGAGCAAGCCTGTACCAGGGCTATCAACAAATACTGTATAGGTTGATAAATACGTGAAACTGAACCACTCTTTCGCAAGTATAATAAATGCTCGTTTTTCCTTCTGGGCTAGAACAACTAGTCTAGTAGCAAAAGTAAATGGTGCATAGAATACTCTGATAAGTATAGTCCGATCAAAGCGGATTCAGATTTGCTCGATTTTCCCAGATCGTCTGAAATTACTTAGAAATGCAGTACACAAGATAGATGATATTTAATTATTAGATAGACGAAATACTTATTAGAAGTCAGCATTACAATAAGCGGGAAAGAATGGCGTGAATATTGGGCAATTAAACTGAGTCGAATAAACTACTTTTCAGAGAAATTTCAGGCATTTTACGTTCCAGACAATGTCCTGTTCAAATTACACAGGACATAGCGGCCATCGCCATATCTAATATCGTCAGTAAGTTAATAGAGTTGTGTTTTGGAAAAGAAGATGTCAGGGCCTGAAAAGATGCACCCCCACCTCCATGCAATGCCGATCACTTCTGCTTTTACGGGAAGAGAGTCCGACGCCGGTAAAGTCCAGACACATGGGAATTTACCGTGGTATTTTTGTCCATGTATTATATCATTAGTCGATAATGCATACATACATAACTTTATAAGCGGACACAACACAAACAAAAATAAACCACCTATCTGCTCATAACCTGAGCTCACATTCCAACCAAAATGACCAATAAAGCCGGATTTAGCTATGCACGTTTTAGTAATGCTTCTGTAAATTATTATTCTCTCTCGTGGTGATGTGTAGCGATGCTGTTACTTTATCTATTATTATAATAATTGCTATAGTTGTTGTTATTGTTGTTGTTCCGTTGTTGATGGTAGAACTTCTTAAGATATATGTTTATATTTATAAGTAACATAAATACAGTCTAAAGCCAGTGTCCCCTTGATATCTGCATGTAATTCAGTTAGTTTAACGCCCCAATTCCTCGCTCGTTCGTGCTTTTATGAAAACAGCCAAGCTAAAGCGTATAACAATCCCGAATGACAGGTTACATTGGAGTGTTTCTTAGAAATCCGAGATTAGGAGCAGCTCGGTTAGCGGCACTTACAGTGGCACCAGCCCAAGTGGCAGCACCAGTGCAGCTTGAAGCACTTTCCGTGGCTGTGCGTGGCGCAGATAGACAGACCGTCGCACGGCAGAAAGTCTGGTCTGCCGGCGCAGTTCTTGGCCAGCGCCTGCGCCTCGTCCAACTTATCGCTCTTTGGTGCCTTCGGTCCCCCAGACGCGGCCATCGCATGTAAATGCCGAAGAAGAAACCGCTCCAGAAGAGCGCATCCGCAAGTGGCCGGCGATCGCCTGGATGACGGACAACGAAAGGAATGCAGGCGTCAGCTCTGATGTCTCTGTGCATAACAAGACAGACGGGTTTTATGGTGAAAAGATCCCCAAGCAACTGCTGTTATGCCAAGAACGAAATATTTAACGTTCATATAAAACATGCAATCGACGCCAAATCATAAATATATGCTATACACACCATATACTAGCGCAAATTAAACATCTAACGTGCACCCTGTGAACTTTAAACATTTGATTATAATTCACCCTTTCCACGACGATGTCCTTTCTGATGTTGTCGATGCTTTTGTCTGTCGCTGCCCTTTCCGATCAACTTTATTATAACTCAGAGGAAGTCCCCGTGTCCGGTTACTCTGGAGGTCCTGCCCAGTCGCATAGGCGTGTGTCCATCAAGTAAATCGCAGCGATGCCCAGGCGCATATAGCGATGCTGGCGAGACGGACCGCACTCTTCTTCGCAAAAGTGTTTCCGCGCAAGAAATAATCGTCCGGCCTTAGAAACCTCGGGAAAAAATGGGATGGAGGGCTGGAGACAAAAGAGGAAAAACGTTCTGTTGCAATTCCAAGACGCCGAACGGCGAGGTTTTAGAAAACCGTGGAATCGCAGGAATTAAACACCAAAGAATCTGGATGAGATTTCAGATGTTTTGTAGTTACAGTACCGGCCACACCGTCTCCTTCACTTTCTGCTCCCCGTCTCTGGCTCGCGGAGAGATATACAGTCAGGGGTACTATTGCAGATGACGTTTTAAGTGTCTACAAGTTCACCGCCCCCCCCTCTCCCTTTGTCAGGCGCCGAGGGTTATTTACTAACGCCGCTGCAATGAGTGCATCTGCTCTTTCGGTCGATCGGTGAAATTGCAAAGCTGATGCAATATTAACGATCATCTGTTGGCACAAAGCAATATAACAGCTGTAATGACCCTCGGCTCCTCCGTGAGATGGAGGTTGCATGCACTCGCCCACTGAGGGCGTTGTTTTTACAGCAAAGCCTCTTCACCTTCCTGGATTTCAGGTTGGCATCCACCAAGTTGATGTAGATTATTATATTGGTCACATTTCGCGCGATTGGTGCGATCGTATTAGGTAGTGATTTTAAAGATGACTATGCTTAAAATAAAAGGGATTGCTGGAATATCTTGGCTACTGTAATTCTTGAGTTTATGAATAAACATCATTTATAAACTGGAAATTTTGTTCAAAAGACATCAAAGTATTGAATATTTATTAACGGTGCCTAGAATAAAAATGACAGAAAATACCCTTTTTCTAAGCAGAAAAACAGTGGCTCCAAAACAATTCACCACTAAATTAACGTTGTATGTTAACGCCGACTTAATGAAATTTCCCATTTGTGACGGGAAAAGTAAGGGTGATTTCTAATCTGGAAGTGACTGCACCGGCTTCGTATCGGAAGGGACCCATATTTCTGAAACTTTTATTTAAAAAAATCTTTAATGACTAATCGTGAAAATAACCGTCAGCGTGTAAAGTGCACCGTTATGAATGGTAATCACAGGCCAAACAGTTCTGAGTAATATCCGGAACATCCCTATTGTCACTGATAACGAGCAGGCCATTCACAGGAAAACGGTTTAATCCTCAATAAAAATAATAATAACATGCACACTTTATGCAGATTATAGTGCAGAAATAATAGTGGTACACAGATAATTCTACTAATTATGTTCAGTCTTAAGGATTTTTATTGTAGTTATTTTTAGTTTTAATTTAACTGAAGTGTAGTTATCCTGGTCTTACGGTAGGCTTAGTCTAGCCCTGTAAACAACATTTTTAATCGTTTCACTTGTAATTAAGTTTGCGAAAGGAAAATGAGCCAGGCCTAGATAAATACGCAGCTCATTTGGTACTGAAGGTATCCGGAAAAAAAATCGAGGGTGATTAATGATTATCAGGAGAAATCATGGGTAGAATAATGATACGTTTGCTTCCATTAATTTAGCAGATGGCTATGTCCAAATCAACTTATACTGTTTAGGAGTACACATATAAAAATGCATTGAAACAAATTGATGTTCACTTAAACTATAACTCCTGGCAAGTTACACACAAACATATTGTGTCACGTGTTTTGCAGATTTCTGCTGTTTTCCTGATTCCATTTGTTTCTTCCCCTGGACAAGAGATGGAGGCAAATGTCACAAGCACCGGAGCCGGGGTCTTCACTGAAGGTGACAATCTCCCTCAGCCAACACAGGCTGCCGACCTGTCTAGCCGGTGCCCTCTCGCTGTCCTGCATCGGGATGAAGCGCCGTCCGATCTCAAGGTCAGAACCTCCATCCCCTCGTTACACGTCCTGATGCTGAACTGACGCAACCGCGAGCCACGTCGGCTTTAGTCAAAGCACGGAGATACGTCACCTGAAGTGGGATGAGAACCGAAACGGGAAAGATGGTTATGTTATACGGATTGAATGCGACCAATTTGTCACAGTTGACATTTTACTGCCACTACGTCAGTATTTCAGGTCAAATAGAATAAAATCTATTGCATAAAATTTAATAGTAACACTTTACTCGAGGGGCCACAAGTCACCTAGTAACTCAGGGACTACTACTTCATGGCGAACGAACATGGAATCAGCATGTAACATTTAGTTTCTGGTTAATTAATACATTAAGTAAGAGTGTACTACTACATTATTTGTGCCTCGAAGTGTTGCTGAATTTATTAATTTTCACCAGGTATAGGCCTATGTGTTTTCAGGCATGTTTACCTTGTGTTGGATTGGAGTAACATCTTCCTCCAAGGTACTACATATTTATATATATATATGTGTGTGTGTGTGTGTGTGTGTGTGTGTCTGTGTATCAATCCATTTTATGAAACCGCCTGTCCTATTCAGCATTGCAGGGGGGGACGGAACCTATCCCAGAGGCTACGGGTACCAACCCATCGCAGGGCACACTCACACACCATACACTCACACACCACACACTCACACACCACACACTCACACACCACACACTCACACACTATACACTCACACATAATAAATAAAGCAGTGGTTCTCAACTCCAGTCCTGGGGACCTTCTGTTATTGGCTGATTGAGAGGCCATCCCAAAAACCTGCCCTCCATGGATCAGGTTCCCCATCCCTGACCTAGACTGTGGGAGGACACCCCATGATGGCACGGGGAGAGCATGTGAACGTCACACACATGGAACCGTGGTGAAGACTCGAACCTTATATATACACACACTGTATTATATAATATACAGTTGCCTTGCCATCCTATGCAGGGTGTTTTCATACCTTCTGCCCTGCGCATGTACACTATATGGACTAAAGTATTGCACCACCTGGTCATTACACTTACAGGAACCATTAATGAGGTCAGGCACTGATTTTGGATATAAAGGCCTGGCTTACAATCTCTGTTCTAGTTCATCCCAAAGGTGCTCCATGGGGTGGAGGTCATGGTCTGTGTGGGCCAGTCAAGTTTTTCTACACCAGACTCACCCAAGCATGTCTTTATGGACTTTGCTTTGTGTACTGGGGCACAGTCATGCTGGAACAGAAAAGGCCTGCCCTCAAATTGTTCCCACAAAGTTGGAAGCAAAGAGTTGTCCAAAATATCTAAATTATGCTGAATCATTAAGGGTTCCCTTCACTAGAACTAAGGGGTCTAACCCAACCCCTGACAAACAACCCCATACCATTATCCATCCTCCACCAAATTTTAGTCGGCACAATGCAGTCAGGGAAGCATAATTTGTCACCCTACAGAACACATTTGCACTGCTCCAGAGTCCAGTGGCAGTGTGCTTTAGATCACTCCATCTGATGCTTGGCATTGTGCTTGGTGATGTGAGGCTTGCATGCAGCTGCTCAGCCATGGATGCCCATTCCATGAAGCTCCCGGCTCACGGTTTCGGCGACTTTTACGCTTTATGCGCCTCAACACTCGGTGACCCCCGCTCCGTTACTTTCCGTGGTCTGTCACTTCGTGGCTGAGTTTCTGTTGTTCCTAAATGGTCCACTTTGCAATAATATCACTTACAGTTGACTGTGGAATATCTAGCAGGAAAGAAATATCACTAACTGTTTGTAAACTTGACTGCATGGCTGGGTGCTTGATTTTATACACCTGTGGCAGTGGGTCTGAATGGAACACCTGAATTCCATGGTAAGTGCATCACAGTGGCACATCCAGTAGCACTGTTGGTACACACCCTTAGGATTGTGGGTTTGAAGCCCCTCCCTTTCTGAGTGTCTTCAGAATTTCTGCAGGCGAATGATGAATGCATTATAGTGGCACAACCAGTAACACTGTTGGTACACACCCTGAGGGTTGTGGGTTCGATTCCCCTCCCTTTGTAAGTGTTTTCACTTACCCATGTTCGTGTGGAATTATCCTGGGTGCTTTTGGTGTCCTTCAGGGGAAATTCTAGGATTCGACCCATTCAATCTGAAGTAATACAGGATGCCACCCCAAATACTTGATGAGCAGGGGTGGGGGGGTCCCTTAGTACTTAGTATTCTTCAGGGGCACTGAGATAAAAAATAGGCTAGTTAAAGCCCCCATAAATAGGGTCTAGAACCACCTACGGTTTCTTTCCATAGTCCAAAGACAGCAGTTCAGGTTAAGTGGCGTCCCCCCTAGTGACTGCGAGTGCGCTCTGTGTCATAATGGTGCCCCGTCCAGCGTGTTGCCCGCCTTTCGTCCAGTCCTCCTCAGCAGGAGCTTCAAGCTCAGTAAAACCCTGCACCAGATAATCTGCTATGGAAGATAGATGGATGCATATAGATTATTGAAGCTATTAATTTAATAATGAATGTCCCCAAATTATTAAAATAATTAATAAAGCAGAAGATTAATTAATTTAGTGGGTTGGGCATATTTATTACAGCGATGCACTTTGTTGAATGATGGCGCGTATGAATGAGGCGTGGATTACAGAGACGGCTGTTTCCTGTACCGTAAAGGTGGGTGTTAAATTTAAAAGGCCTTTAATATTCTTGGACAAAGTCCCACAGAGCGCCTCCTAAAGCATGCCATTTCCCCAGAGACTGAGCAGCGATTGTTACGTCAGACACCATCTGGCCACCTGGTCAAAGTTTAAATGTTAAACGTAAGGGATGTCGAGAGACTACAGCACCCTAGGTGAGTGACTACCCATGGTGAGGATACTAACCCCCCGCTGAGCGCCACTGTTACTTGGGGGAGGGGTTAACGACAGCCCTCGGAGTCTGTCGCAAACACAGCTGCAGCTCTGCAGGGATTTATGCATTAAATGCATTGCTGTTCCCTGTAAATGAAAGAAGAAAACATCTGTCTGCTTATCCCCGTATTTAACAGCTTCTCTCACTATTTGTTGTTCGAGTTGCAAGTCATCACGAAATATTTATATTCATCACCTTTTTCTTTTTATTACAGGACTATGCTACCCATGGAGCGTTCAAGGATGTCAGCGACACACTCGCGGGACTCAATGGGCCTTTATTTCAGCCTCTGATTCTTTATACCGGTGCTGACAAAATACAATCCGGCCGAGCGGCCGTTCGGCTTTAACAGCGCTTCATTAAATCGCCGACATCAATAAGAGCGGCACAGCCTAGGATAAAGGCCGTGCCTCGTAACAGCCGTGCACAAATTTCAGGCCATAAAATGCAGTCGTCCGGGCACATGTGTCTAATGCATCATCCCAACAAGAAAATAAGGTTTGAGAGTGATGGTAGCCCTGATGCCAGAATAGTTAGGCCTCCTGTAAGAGCGAGATCTCAGGGTTTTTTCCAGGAATGGCCGGAAAATCCCACAATCCCCTGCTCAGGACAACAGTGGCAGAATCTCACACCGCGATGCTTCCTCTCATGGAACGACACGGACCTCATGCCTGAATGGATGGCAAAACCTCCGCCCTCGTTTGAGGGGCTTGTGTAATTGACCGTTTGTGAT